CGCCGCGCCCGGCGGGGGGGGGGGGGGGGGGGGGGGGGGGGAATAATCAAAAGCAAATGACAAAAGTAATACTAAAGAAAAAATAATCAAAAGCAAATGACAAAAAGTTACCAAAATCTGTTGATAGCCCTAGCTCAACTTAAGATCGAACAAAGGGGCTTTAAACTAAAATTTAGCTGGGTTTTGAGTCTTTTGACTGTTCAAAGATCAGAATGCCAAAAGTCATATTCAAAATGGTGGATACGTAAGAAAAACAAAAACAGCACTGAAATATGAGTCCAAATAGTTATGATTTTAAAGCAACTGATTGAATTTCAAAGATCAACATTTAATAATTAGGAATAGGCACCAAAAATAATTCTCTACACCAAGTTAGAGCTAATCAGATACTTACTATGTAGTGCCTCCTATTTAAAAATATGATCATACGTTTGATTAAAAACAAAACTTGAACCATTGTCCACAGAATAAAATATGACAGATATTGCCCATCTATTGCATCTTGTTTTAAATGGTTAAAATTTTGATAAAAAAGTTTGAAAGGAATTGTATTCTATAGCTATTTATAGCCTATTAACGAAATATGGCATGAGCATACATGACCTGCAACAAGATGTTTTTAAGGGAATACCAAAGATGCACTATTCTATCTATGACCAAAATAATTGAAAAAATAAGATACTATTGTCATAATTGGTGCATGCCACCATAACGTAACGTAGAAAGCTGAACTTAACATCATCATATCTTCCTATGCATGAAAATTAGGAAGAATTCCATCAAACTAAGAAATTGATGCCATGACTCACGAAGACTTAAATCGGAGCTTGGGTCACATTTGTATTGTTCTATGTAATGCTTTAAAGTGTAGAATGACCAACGCCTAAGCTCAGGCATAGGCATAACCATGTGCACATCTTCACATATGAGTTGCTTGAAATCTTTATCTGGCGATCCAATAACAACTCGATGCCCTCTTTGTAAAACTTGGTCAGCAAGTGTGGCAATTACATCATCTGCCTCAAAACCATTCACCTTTATAACCTGCATAATTTAGTATTTCAAACATTATTTTTTTGGCAGCAGAAGATTCAAACAATTAATCCCAGAGGGAAATTCACGATCTAATGCTTAATGATATTTAAAATTAAGTTGAAGAGAAAGGGAGGAAGAGAATAGAAAAAAAGAAACCATTGTAATTCATTTTGACAAACATAAAAAGTCACATGCATAGAGAAGAACCTCAGCAAGCTGTTATAAAAAAATTAAAAACAGTAAATATTTATGAATTCAAAATTCCCCTCCAGCAAGTGCATATAGATTATATGTCACTAGCATGTTACTTACGAAGTTTATTCAAGAACCTCTGAGAAAGAATATGTTTTATAGCCTGTCATAGCCAAAAAAATCAACAAAAATGCTCCTTAAAATAAAATTTTATTTGATAAAATCATATTACCATAACTAACAATCTAATCTTGAACTAATCCCAATACAGCTTAAGATTGGCTTGAAGATATTCAATCTAATCTCAAGGCAAACCAAGACTAGTTGTCAGACCACAACTGGGCCCTCCTTTTTAGGGGTCGGTTGAGGTGTGACAGAGGCTATCAATTTGCTCAGACTAACTCTCACTATCACTCGTCCTGACTTTTATAATCAAGACCTAGCGGGTGATGAATTAGTTTAACTGGATCGTCGCACAAACGTGACACATTGCATGTCAAAGTTCATTCATATTTACGGAAGCATGAAAATCATACGATCAAAACATAGATATACAGAGTTGTTAAATCCAATAAATACATACATACCCAAAAGACTGTACAGACTCTCAACTATGGAACAAAACGTTGTACAAGTCACGCCTGGTTACTCTCCCCAGTGCTCGTTGCCCCTAAATGGAAGGCAATAAATAACCTAGGGTGAGAAAAACTAGTTCAACAAAATAATCAGGACTAAAATAAGATTTCAAACATGGAAAGAAAGTAAAGTCATAACAAGCTTGCATAGTAGAGAACATAAAGAGAAAATAAATACAATAAAAATCAAGATTGTTGTGTAGATATGTTTGGTCATATCATATTATCATAAATACGTAATCATGAGCATATAATCATCAGCATGTGTCATTTTATAGCAACGTCACTTGTGAATGTATAGGGTTCAACCATTTCCATATTCATTCATCATGAGTCATCACCCTGCCCCAAAAGACGTATAAACTATCGATAAAAGTTGGGTTTCACCCAACATAACAATCATCGACAGCTCACCTGATACTCATGGTTTCCTATCATTTTATCACCGCCTAATTCCAACGATTACCTAAGTTTTGTCCCCGTAAATATCAGGAGTCGGGAATACATCCCTGCATATTGTACTTACAAGTATTCATGTAATAGTCTATCCCTTTACCGTCCTCGTGACATTTCTTAAAATAAAATATATGTAGCAACATTTCTTAGGCATTTCATAAAGCATAATTCTTGCAATCAGGTATTTCGTATCTCATAAGCATGAACCATAACATAATAAATGTCTGCAGGCAATTAGTGTCAAATGCATAATCATCTGGATTATATAACAACATAGAATCATGCGTAGTATAATTATTAAATGCATCAGCATCAAACTAAAAATCATATGAAACCTATAGAAGAGTGTTTTTCTTAGTTTAGCATAAGATTATTTCACCTAACTAGACGGAGTAGTCCCATGACGAGTTTTTATATGTTCGTCTCGAGCTCGCCGCCTCATATGCACAACCTGAGGAACATAGACAAGATAGGAATTCATAAAATTCAGGTTCATAACATGATATAACTCAAAATATAATTTATTTGTCTGAAACATACCTCAAAAGGGCTTTTCGGCATAAATCACCCTTCTGACCCAAGCTAATTATCTTTTTATCACCTCAAAACATCTCCTCACTAATTTCGTGCTAAGAGATGTTTAAAGGCTCCCAAAATTAATTACACTACTTTCGGCATGAATTTGGCGCCTCCAACGGCTACCAAAAACAATTAAAGCACAAAAAAAGAGGCAAACGTCAAAACAAAAGTGTGAGGAAGGGAATGAATGCTTAGAATGGCAAGAGAGAGGAATTCGTACCTTTAGATTTCACCCTAGAGCACTAGATAGCGAGCTGTGGCTTCAAGATTCTCGCTCGGTTCGCCTGCCTGCTCACATTGTTCGCTCGTTGCACTCACGAACTTGCTACAGGGGGACGAAAGAACTCCAACGGGACGAGGGAGCGCAAGAGAAGAAATAATTAGAGGGGAAGAAATTTTGAAGCTCGCGTCTGCCCTATTTGATTGATCGAAGGAAATAAAAGGCATGTGAGGTGGTGTGAAATAGTCACAGAGGATCAAGGAGAAGGATTAAGAAATAATTAAGTTTAAAATGAAAAAACTTTAAAATTTTACAATTCTCAACCCGTCCATAATTGACATAATGTGTTTTATATGAATTGATCGATTTCATGCGTAGAATTTAATAAAATTATTTCAATCAAATTCCAGGAGATAAAAATTTTGGAGAACTTTTTCAATTGTGTCGAACTTTACCTAATTCCTTGAAATTTGAATGTTACAGTTCTCCCTTTCTAATAAATAATTGGTCCTTGAAATTTATGACTTTACTGGATTATGAAAAGATATTTCTGTAACATTTCTTCTTTTTCCCATGTTGCTTCCTTTTCAGGCATGTGATTCCACTTTATCTTCACAAAAGGAATTTATCTGTTTCTGAGCTTCTGAACATCAGTTGCTAAAATCTTCTTAGGTTCTTCAATATATGTTAGATTCTTCTGAACTTCAACATCATGCGAAATTCTCTGTTCTAAATTTGAAACTGATTTCTGCAATATTGAAATGTGAAATACATTGTGTTTATCTGGCATATTCACAGATAACGTTAATATATAGGCGACTGGGCCGAACCATTCTATAGTTTCAAAAGGACCAATGTACCTGGGGCTCAGCTTGCTTCCCTGACCAAATCTAGTTGTACCTTTTATTGGCCTGACTTTCAAAAATATGGAATCTCCAACTTCAAATTCAACTATTTTGTGTTTTAAGTTGTACTAGTTCTGTTGTTGTTCCTGAGCAGCTTTCAATCTGTATCTAATTAATCTGATTTTGTCTGGGGCTTCGTCAACTAGTTTCGGACCTAACATTTAGCATTCGCCCACTTCAACACAACTGACTGGAGTTCTACACATTCTGCTACACAGAGCTTCTTAATAAGTCATTTTGATGCTAGATTGATAGCTGTCGTTGTAAGAAAACTCAATCATTGGAATGTGATCTTCACAGTTGCCTTCAAAGTCGAGAACATAAAGCTTTAACAAATTTTCCAATACTTAAATTGTTCTCTCTTATTGTCTATCAGTTTGTGGATGAAATGCACCCAAAACCTTCCTGAATATCTTTCCACAACCTGGACATGAATCTATCGTCTTTTTCAGAAACAATAAGTTTTGGAATACTGTTATACAATTTGGCCAACTTTTCTACTGAATCTATCTGTCTCATAGGCAAAAAGTGAGCCAACTTGGTTAATCTATTAATAATGCCCCAAATATTGTCGTTACCAGTCTGGATTGAGGAAATCTCATAACAAAAATCGTAATTTCTTCTCATTTCCATTTAGGAATCGACATTGATTGTAGCAATTCGTTAGGTCTCTGATGCTCAGTCTTTACAATCTAACATGTCTGACATTGAAATACATATTCAGCAACATCCTTTTTCATACCTGGCCACCAGAATGCCAACTTCAAATATTTATACATTTTTGTGTTGCCCGGATGAACTGTGTACTGAATGATGAGTTTCATGTAGATTTTCTCATCTCAAATCAAAATCAGTAGGTGTCACGCAGACATCTATGACATTTTTCCTCTAAAATGCTGACATAGTGGGGTGCATATCTGGAAAGAGAAATAAATTGTCTCATATTGCATAACTATCTTGGTCCCTTGAATTAGATTGAAGAACTTATCTTGTAGTGCTAATCAAGCAGAAAGCAAAATAATCCAATCTTTGATCACTTTACAAATTCTTCCCATTGAATCTGTGAAAGAGGTGTCAGCTGAAATTTCTCTCTATGTTGCACTTGCCTCCACCGTTCTACTTCACCTTCTAGCATAAATGTAACTAGTGCTATTTTTCTGTTTTCTGTACAAATACCGTCCAAAATTTTTTCAATTTTTAAGAGTTGATCTACAGCAACTGTAGGATCACTAGCACCCTTGAATGCAAATGGCTTGAAAGACTGAAATATCTTTAAGTGTCGATCCACTTCTTACCCATTTTTAGATCTGGGCCCTGTACTGGTAAAGGATCTTTCGATAGCAACCATTTTATCAACTACTTGTGAAATCAGTTGCACAATGCACAGTAACACAATAGCTCTGGTGTCTTCATTTATATTGTTCTGATTTTCATTTATGTCCAAAACAGTTTCAACTCTAACTTCGTGCTCTGCACTTGGCCTAAAAGAATGTCCTTCCATACTTTTTGTTTCTTCTCCAAACATTTTTATCTATATTGGCACAAGGTATTAATACGAAACAGGTAAAATTGTTGGTTGGCATAATTACGCTCCCTGTCTCTTTTTGTCTAGCATAATTATGTTAGGAACAGACGAAGCTAAGCCGACCTGTCACATAGTTATGTCAGCCACAAGCATAGCTACTCTGGCGACAACTATAGCTCATATCGGCAATTTGTTCTATAGAGATTTTGGTAAAAGCTATATAAGGAGATACATTGGGATGTCCCAAAAGAGCTTAACAACATTCTTGAGACTTCTTCCATAAATTTTTAGGGTTTCATCGTCAAACCCTAAGGCATTCCTTCCTCTTTCTTTCGGAGAAATTCCTAGGGCCACTTTTATTTGAGTTGGAGAGTATATTTGTGAGAGAGAGATTAAAGGATGTGTATGAGGAAGATTGTGGAGTGCTTCCATTGTATTGCGATGAACATTTGGTTTGGTTGTAAGCTTGTGTACTATCTTTCATTTATATCTTCAATGTGTTTAATGAAAGTTTATGTGTTTCCTATCACATATCTCAAGGCTAGTCTTTTTCATACTCTTGTGACATAAGAATTGGATTTTTTCGTTGTTTTTATTGTGAGTTTACCCTATAAATATTTTTTAGGCCTTTGACTTTCATATATTGATGTTGTAACTTTTCAGCCTTAATTAACATGATAGATTGTTAAAATTTTTTGTGATTTAGGACTTTTGTTCATCTCCTAAAAAAACAAGTAGTTTAACACATACTAACCCAATAAAAAAGGCATATTGTCATTAGGAAATTGTAACCTAGATATGATATCCAATGACTCCAAGAAAATAATGCATAGTTGACACACCCCAACTAAGCCCCCTATAGGATCAACTGCAGTGCGATAGAGGCAAACGATACAATCAGACAAAATTTTCCCCAACACTCATCATATATTGCAGAATCAGGACCCAGTGGGTGAGAATTTAGTCCGGTCTAATCGTCCATCTCTATCACAACACAGTTGGTCCGATAGGAGGTCAGTTGGGATATGACAGGAAGCGACATCAAAGCATAATTATAGGATAAAAAGAATGATGAAAGCATGTTGTATTCAAAATAATTAATAATAAAATAAGATTTCATTTTTATAGATCTATTAGTTGATTGATGTGGGATGGGTAACTCATACGACTTAAGGTATCATGCATACACGATATAATTATTACCGAATTAATTACATTTGAATAATAAAATATGTCAATTCATATGAATATATCTAAAAGAGAATTGGAAAGTACTTAGGTTCAATCTCCTAGGATAATTGCAAAAGAAATACGAGTCGATTGAACCGAAATGAAAATCAAAATAGGGCAAAAGAGGAAAATAGAGCCACTAAGTTAGAGGGCATTACTTAGTCGATATCACAAGTGGTTTCCAAAATGGCTACTATTGAAAGATCATACACTAGTATAAGGCCCAGATCTAAACCTAGGGCATAAGTTGGTCGGCACTTAAAGATCTTTCAGACATTCAAGCTCGGCTACATTCAAGGTGTCAGTGACTCTACACTTGTCGAAGATTGGCAATTGAAGATCGAGAGTATTATGGATGATATGATTCATCCAGAAAATAAGAGAGTGGAGCTAGTTATTTTCATGTTAAAAGACGAGATTGAGAGATGGTGGCGAACACAACATGGAAGAAAATTTTAGATGACACCACTTTCACAGATTCAGTGGGAAGTTTTTGCCAGAGTTTTCAATGGTTGGTTTACTCCAATCAGATTAGCATTACAAGATAAATTCTTTAATATGACTCAGGTGTCCATAACAGTTATGTAATATAAGACAGATTACTTTGGTTTCCAGATATGTACTCCATTGTGTCAATACCCAAAAAAAATGCCACGGATTTCCATGCAGCCTCAAAAATCAGTTGAGGTTCACTTTGGCGTCGATCATAATAGGTGATTTCTCAGTGTTGGTTAAAAGAGTCGGACTAATTGAAAATAAGCTAAACTGTTTTGATCAGCGGTGGAAAATGCAGGTAACCTCAAAAAAATTTTGGCAAGATAGAAGAATTTCAAAGCAATAAAGTTAAATCAAAAGGTAGACAAAAGCAACCACTATCAGAAAGACAAGAATGTGAAAAATATGAAAGAAGATTTTTTGAGCAGTGTCTGATGGGTTCGGGAAAATGTTACAAATGTGGACAGTCAGGGCATCTACAGATGAGCTGCCCGCAAGAAAAAAAAAGATAGCAGATTGCTGACAATTCAGGGATAACTTAGAAAATTTTTGGATGGCAGTCAGTCCAACAAAACAAAGCTTTTGGAAAAGCTTTCAATGCATGCAGAAGGTGAAGCTACAAGTGTGAAACTGAGCAACCAATAAAAATCAGAGTATATACAACAAGCTAAAAAATCTAAATTGGTTACAGATATGATTCTTATTAAAGACTAGCTTAACACTGTTTTAGTCGATTCAGGTGCATCGCATTCTTTAGATTTTGATGTGCTTACTGCCATATTATCTATTGATGTTGTGCATTTTACTCATGCCTTATGCGTTGTTATGCTTTCGGAAATTCATATTAATATAAATAGAAAACGTGACATTCATGTTAAGAAGCTGCATGCAGAATCAATTATAATACAAATTCAAAACTTTTATCTCATATTGGTAATGTATTGGTTGGTAAAGCATTTTGCTACAATTGAATGCTATAAAAGGTGAGTGAAACTTAATTTGTTTGGAAAAAAAAAATTGTATATATCTTACGTGATCAAAATGCAAAATATTCTCTTATTAGTAAAGTGAAAGTTGAAAAGTATTTGTGAAGTGGTGAACTAGTATTTCTAGTCAAAATAGAAATGTTGAATAAAGATGTGCAGGAAATGAAAAACGTTCTATTTATTAAAAAAATTTCTGATGTATTTCTTAAAAAATTGTCAGGGCTACCAGCAAAATGGGAAGTTTGATTTGGCATTGATGTGCAGACAGGGACGTCTGCAATTTTTAAGTCTCCTTACAGGATGGCTCGGAAAGAATTGCAGTAACTGAAATGCCAATTATAAGAATTGACCCGACCTTATCTGCCGAATTAGAGTCATCATGGGGTGAGCTGTACCATATCTGTCAAATTGCTCACTTGGGATGATATAAACCGACCTTATTACAAGGATTTTCCAACAGGTTATCATGTTGTATTCGTATTGCGGGTTATTAGGATGCATATGAAGCATCAAATGGTAGAGTTATGCTGGCGTTTCATTTCAGTTTGATTTAAAATTCTCATATTCTTGAAGCTCAAAGTTAGAGAACCGCTCATGAATTCAGAGAAAATCCACATGCAAAATAGTGTTTTTCTAAAAATATTTTTCGCATGAACAAAAAATAAGTATTTGAAAATTTGACGAGGAAAAGTGAAAACAAATGAAACTTAAAGCTTCAAACCTTCTAACATACCGGCACATTACACTTATGGAGAACATTGGTGATTTGCAGCTCGCCGGAGCGCACGCTAGCACTGGAAAGTCTCTGCAACTCGTCCCAATGCCGGATAAACTTCCTCCTATGTGCTTTGTACGAGGGCAGCAGCTGCCTTCGATACTCATTGCCACCTTCGCCATCCAAAACCTAACATAATTAACGAAACATTAAATCACTGAGCTATAACTAACAGAAAACCAAATCATTGAGTTGTTTGAAAATGTATTAAAACGTAAAATCTATTTCTTCGATCTTACAGCGATTACAGGGTTGCGTAGGCTAACTTGGGAGAAGAAGAGGGAGAGCCAGTTGGCGAAGGAGTGGAGGCTTGGTTGTACACCTCGGTAACAAATAGGGTTGACATCAAGGAAAAAGACACTCGGCTTGCCCTCAAGGGGTTTGCGGAATTCCCTTTGAGGCACTGAGACCGCTTTATAGCCTAAGAAGCGCTCGCTGGCTGACTGTGTGGCAGGATAAGAACTGCTATCGGCGCCGAGCTGACGCGGCGAGGGAGAGGGAATGAGATGAGATGGGACGACGGGTGGAAAAGTATTGAGAGGTTGGAGAATGCCGGATGCTGTAGCGGTTAGCATTACGCTCATCTTTGTGGTTCGCAACTTTGAAATTTTTGAAGGAAAGTTTGGATATATCCTTCATTTATTTTATTTATTTTTGGATAATTCCATGTATGAAATCTATGTGCTTAGCTTGGTCCTATTATAAGTTATACATATTTGAGCTCGAGTTGAGGTTTGACATGCATGTTCATGTTCATGCTTGACATGTTAATCTTTTTTAAAAATATATTTATTTTATTCTTGATTTATTTGTATTAACTAAATGAGAATTCTAACAAGTTAATAAATAAGTTAGAATTTTAAACGAGTGTCTATCATTTCATATAAAATTATTAACAAATAATTTTATAAGTCTAAACAAATAATTCATTGAATTTTTTTTTTTATATAATTTTAGTGCGCCAACTAAATAAGATAATATATAAGTTACAATTAAATTTTCTTGCAAATAAATAATTCTAAAATATTATTGATATTATAATCTATTACCATTAAATAAATTATAATTGTTCAAATTTATGTTAATAATTATTTTTTATAATAACAGCTATCATCAAGTTTAACATCGAGTATTTAATAATTTATTTCGTGAACATAAATAAATAAGTTAGATATTTTGTTAGTTGGGTTCATTTAAAAATTGAACAGACATGCTTGTTTACTAACTTCAATAAATTTGATCGGGAATTAATTAAGAATTTGTTTGGGGCAACTGCAGCTTATTGACAATTCGCTAATAAGCAGCTAATCTAAATAAGTTGTTGATTAGCAGCTGATCCAGATAAGCTGGTTGGTTGTTTGGTTTATGTTGTTGATAAACAGCCGATTTGCAACTGATTGTGGTCAAATGACCAGTCTGCCCCTGTGGCTCTCTGCAACAGAACAATCATAGCAATATATTTGATATTTGATAAGCAAAAAACCACTTCAAAATAGTAGAAAAAAATAAGATACATGTCTTACATAAGAGTGAGTATCAAGTGCACTAAAAAAAGAAAAAAAGTATTAAAATTACATTTTTCAAAAAATGATGATGTTAATTTTAAAATCCATAATGCGTATGTCCCGAACTGCGTCGTCCTCTAGGGATGTCATCCAACCTCAATCATTATCGACAGTGGAATCTACCAGGTTGTTTGCCCACAATAAGAATCCATGCTTCTCCTAACCGTCTGCGCACTGCGGGCACCTGTAGAACTTTCTCCCATAGCTATGTGCCCGACGTGACGTCAGTAGGAAAGGTTGTGATCTACAGTCGTCGGGAGGTCTTGAAATCCCGAAGCTCATTTTTCTTGAATGATTAAAAAGACAATTCATTAGTCATACAAAGACTAAGTTCAACTAACACCAAAAACACAAAAGTCCAACCATCCACACACACCAAGTCCGGCACACACATACCCAAGTCTAACCACCAGCAGACACGCCCAAGTCCAACCAGTAACAAACACACCCAAGTCCAACCACACGCACACACCACATCCAACACACACACACCCAAGTCCAACCACCAATAGACACACCCAAGTCTAACCACCAGCACACACACCCAAGTCCGACCACCAGCCCACACACCCAAGACCGACCACCAGCACACGTACACACCCAAGTCTGACCACCTGCACACACCCCCAAGTCTGACAACAAGTAGACACACCCAAGACCAACCATCACCACACACACACCCAAGTCTAACCACCAGCACACACACCCAAGTTCGACCACCAACAGACACCCAAATCCAACCACACACACAACACATCCATCACACACACTCCCAAGTCCAACTACCAACAAACACACGTAAGTCCAACAACCAGCACACACACATCCAAGTCCAACCACCAACAGACACACTCATATCCAACCACCAGTACATTATTTCTCAATTTTTCTTTTCAAGTTGATTCCTACTTGAGGTTCTATAGCTATGATTTCAAAGAATTATCAATGCCACTGATCCCAGCCACGGGTGTATCTTCTCAAGCATATATACGAGAGTAAATGAGCAGCAAATGAAGACCTATATACCAATACAATGTTATTATTTTCCAACCATAAAAAATCTATAGCAAATAATTATTAATGCTACTAATTTCCAACAAGAACAATGCTATTGATTTTTAACCTTTCTAAAGCATATTGCATGAGAAGAGGATGAATTCTAATCAAGTAACTTAAAATAAGTGTATTTAGAGGTCAAAACCACATTTGATTGGATTTATTGTGGATGAATTTGAAGTAGATAGGAAAAGTCAAATATCAATCAGTTTAAGCTCCATTGGGATCATATTTATGCATAATATTTTATAGAATAATTTCTAGATCTCCAACCTCCAAGGAATCGTTCAATGAGCCACTTAAAACATTGTCATCAAAAGAAGAGTGATCATAACCTTTGATGAAGCTTGCTTGTTCACATTTACAAATCATATGAAAATATTTAGAGTCATTGCAATTTTAAGAAAATAATATTTTGAGCACCATTTACAATAAAATACTCCTATCAAAAGAACAGATACACGGAAGAAACATCAAACAATCTTTATTTTCTAATGACTCAAAACCAAAGACAAAAATCTTCTCAATATTATTCATGTGAAACTTATCCTCAAAATAGTCAATGTTATTATAGTGCAAAGCACAATGAGATGCATAAGATTTTATTTTTGCTTCAAAGAGCAAAGTGTAGAATGAAGAGACATTTTTATTAGATAAAGTTTTAATAGGTTATATAAAACTATTAATGTATAAATACATTCATTAATAATTATAAAATATAATATATAACTTAAAAGCTGATATAAAACAAAAAAGTTATGGTGAAAAAACAAATTTAAAGGCAAACCTTGAGGGTGAATATGAAAATTAAAATTTTAAACATTTAAATTAAATTTGTTATGGGAAGCTATTTTGTAAAACCCAACATGACTAAGTGCAATGATGTTGACCTCAGTTTTTATGAGGTCTAGTTTCTCCTCTTTAGAAGCCTAGGATCTAGCCATAAAACTTTCCTGTTGACTATCCTAGAGAACAAGTAATGGAACCCTCCCACATAGAAATTCTAAACACTTCTTGACTCTTCTTGTGAAGACTTACATGGGTGATTCTAAGCCCTCATTTCTCACTTGAGATGGCTAAGAACATGTGAAGGCTCAAGTATGAGTTTCAGTTGGATCAGTGAGACCTTAGAGCAATCCCGGGTGGCTTGGTCTTGGTCACACACACTCAAACCCATCAAACTCACATACTTCAAAAACCCTAAAATCATTCACACTTGACCTACCTCCTAACTTCCTTTTGGGAACTCATGTGGGTGGTCCCAAGCCCTTAGCCTTTAGCTACGATGGCTAGAATTACATGTGGAGGATCCATAATGAGTTCTCCCATGGGTTTCATGACTTTAGGGGGGTGGCTTCATGGTTGGCATGATCATCATATCCAATTAAATCCAATTCCACCAAAATACCCAGCCTTGGCCTTCTACCCCCGAATTTCCCTAAAATTACCAAAATACCACTAAGCCACCAAAAATTAGCAAAATGCTCCCAACTTCAAAAAATTGTCAAAATCGTCAATTTCACAGATTGCATTCCCCAATTGCACCCAAAATTCCCAAATTACCCCCAAAATTTCTTAAGTTCCCAAATCACACCCAATTTTAATCAAATTTATTTCAAATTCACCCAATTCCAAATCCAAACACAATTTCATCAAATTCAAGCCTAATTTCAATCAAATTTAAACCCAATTACATCAAATTCCAGACAAAATTTCCAAATTCAAGCCAACCATCCCACATTGACCCTAAATCTATTTTTTCACCAAATCAAGCTACATGATCAATCCAATTTCACAAAATTCATATCATAAATTCATCATGACAATTTTCAAGACTCATTTAAGCCTTCAATTGGTTTAGATCTATACTAAACCAAGCCCAAGATCCAAAACCAAACTAAAGTCCAATTTTAAGTCTAATCCAAACTCTACTCTAATTCCTAGGTTTAACTAAATGCTTAATTATCTCAGCCACTCCCTAAGCCCTAATATGTTGATCACATCATCTAGTTAACACCACTTTGAGCCATGGACCAATGATGATGATGGTGATTCAACAAGGTGAACTTATAACTTTATAGAATCAAGTAAAAGGCCTTGAATCTTATTTGTACCATAGTGATGATATTATGATGAGGAAGTTTGAGTATGATATTGCTTATAATGAGGCTATGAAGAAATGCATGGGAGCTGACCATTCTGTGGAATTTCCTGCTCACCCCACTTTCACACCATATTGGCCTTCTGAGATGGATGAAGATATAGATTTGGGTAATGATGATGATGATGATGATGGTGGTGTTGTTGATGTTGGTAATGAAGATTGATGTGTAATTTGTTGCTTTTTTTCTTCTTTCTTTCCATTATTGTGTTTGAATGTTTGGACTTTATTTTATTCATGATTAGTTGTATTTGTGTTGCAGTGTGCTTGTACTTAGTTTTTTCTGTTAAATTGTTAGTTCTTCTCTTTATGTTTTGCTCCAAATTAAATGCTAGAGTAGTTTTTATTTTATGTTTTTATTGTTATGCATGTTAATCTTATGTTTATCACTACTCAGTACTTGTCTTTTCTACTTGTACCTGCATTAATTTCCCTGATTTAAATTTTAAATTTTTTTCTCTTTCTTCATGAACTTTTGTGCTTTAAATTAGTTTAAAATTTTAAGTTTGGGGGAAGGGAGAAAATTCTTTTTAAACTAAAATTTATTTTGTCCTCAGAAATTGTATTTTTCAAAATTATTTTTAACATAACCTATGATATGTAGAGTTAACTTTAGAAAACTATATTTTTGATTTTATGATAGTTGTAGAAAATCTATGTAAAAAATTTTAATAATAAAAGTTAATTGTAGAATAAAGATATTTAGTATGAATGGTTTGGAGTTATGCTTTTGATATTTAAAGTAAAGAAAACCATATTTTTGGAAATATTAAGGATCTTAGATTTATACTTGAAAAGAAAGA